AATCTATAAAAAACTTATTAAAAAAATGGAGATGGAACTTGGAAATCAAGAGGATCATGCTACAAAAAATAATAAATTTGAGAAGCTTGTTTATACTATAAATAATCTAATTAGTGTTAGAATGACAAATAGATTAGGTAAGAGAATTAAAGCTTTTAATGATACAGCAAATATATTGAATAACAAGAAAGAAAAACATAAAGTATTACGAATTAATCAAGATCAAAGTAAGTTTGGTATTCTTAATTCAGATATATACGGTACATATATACATATATATTTATTTTAAATATTATATAATTTGTTACAATTCATTTCTTAATAATCATTTCTCTTACAGGATATTTACTCTATATCATGTAGATGACAATTTAGTTTTTATTAGTTAAATAAATATATTGTTAATAAATTGTTATCACATATGATGTAGGTAAATAAATATAGAAAAATGACTGTTAGAACATAAATAAGCAAAATATAAAAAATGTCTAAATACTTATAATATATAAAATTATAAAATTTAATATTGAAATAGAATCTATAAGTGATTAGAAGAAGGTGGTGCGAGTAAGAGAAAATATAGAAATTGTAGATTGAGTAATTATAATACATAAACATATCCTAATATTGTAAAATATAATAATGTTAAAACAGAGTCTGTAAGTGATATACCAGAAGCTAGTACAAATAAGAAAAAATACAGTATTTGTGGTTTAGAAAGTTATAATGCATATATATATCTAGATTTTATAGATTGTTTGGCTATTGATATAAACGAAGTTGATGATATAAATAAAAAAAGAAGTAGAATGTGTGGTTTAAGTGGTTATAATGTACGAACTTGTTCAGATTAAATAGTAAAGACAAATATTATATGCGGAATTAAAGAAATATTAGCATCTATACTATTTAATTAATATATAGTAACCAAATTATATATATAATTTTAAGTATATATTATGTTAGCATACTTTCATATTGGTTGTGTAATTGGTGTATCAATTCAAATCCTGTATATTCTGAAATTTTGTTTATAGTTCTATAAGTATAATGCGATAAGATCTAATATGTATAATATAAAAGGAAAAATAATTCTGAAATCAAGCTAGATTAGATGTATTACTACATAAACTAGCAAATAAACAATATCTAAAATCTTTTTTTTGTTTTTTTAATCTTCACAATGTCTCATGAAAGCGGATTTTTATTAGATATTTTAGATAGTATATTATTGGTTAATGAGAATATATTCTAATAGGACCCCAAAATGGTTATCTATCAGAATCCCAATACTCAAAATCCCAACACTCAAAATCCCAACACTCAAAATCTCAACATTATCAAAATCTCAACATTCAAAATCCCAATAT